TACAACCCCCAGAAAAAAAAAAAAAAAAAAAAGTGAAGAAATTAACCTATTCCAAAAAGACCTATGGCCTACTCAGCCTTCTATTCTCCAAAAGGTTCAAAGTCCTACTTTGATGTTGTCTTCATACTGTGGCTTAAGTGCTAATAATAAAAACAACATGTATTAAGGAGTATTATCTGTCATAAGCAGTAGTATTTCTATCATTTCTATAGAAAGGACTAACAACCTAACGGAAGGTGATGGGGTAGGGCCTAGTTTTGAGCTGCACTGGCCTGGAAAGTACATCTAATGGGATTTGGGTAACAGGGTGCTGATGGAAAGTAACCTGTCCGCAAGACACCCCTGGTACCACCACTCACACAGTACTTCCCTTGTATAAGAGCTGTGTTGCATGCTTTACCTATATTGTCTCATTTAATTCTTGAGGAGGCTTGTGAGGCAGGTGCTATTAAGACACCCAGTTACAGTTGAGGAAGCTCAATCTCCCTATAGAGAGATTAAGTAAATTGCCCAAGGTCATATCTAATAGGCTGCAGAGCCAAGGTCTATACCAGTGGTGGTGAACCTATGGCACACATGCTGCAGTGGACTGTTGGTATCATTGAAAGCTCTAAAAGGTTCACTATCACTGGTCTATACCCTAATGTAGGGTAACAAGCACGGACTCTAGAGAAGACTGTCTGGATTGGAATTTTGGTTCTACTAGGAAACTTGCTTAGGCAATTTTCTTAATATGTTGTACCTGTCTCTTCATTTGTGGAGGGGAGGAAACACCTGTAAGAATGTTGTGCAGATTAAATGAGTTAAGACTGGTACATGAATACCTAAAGCTCCCAATTACTATTATAATTATTATGTATTTTTATGATTATCCCTCTTTTCTGCCTTTGGTATGCTCTTAAAGACTGTTGTCCTCAAACTCTTTTTTTTTTTTCAGTACTGCCAATAGGCCCCCAGATTCTCAGATATCAGAGCCACCAGTTCATCCAAAGCCATGGGCAACATACAATCATTGAGGATTAAGAGCCAGGGGACATGTCCACATACCCACAGGGCTAGTTCTCAGCAGAATGAGAACTCAGACTCAGGGGCCCAGGATCCAGCCCCCGCTTCCTCACTCCAGGCAGTGGGGCCTCTGTAGTTCAGCCCACCAAGCCCACCACATGACCTCAGCAGCAAGCACCTAGATTTAAAGGAGAGCTCCCACATTCCATTTCTGACTCCTTTGTTGGCCATATAATCTTGAGTTGGTCATTTCCTTGGACCTCACTTATGACCTATAAAATTGGAATAATACCTACTCTGCTTGTTGCAAAAACCAAATGAGATTAACAGATAAAATGGAAAAAAATGTAAGGTAACTTTATGCAGTCCTCAAATCAATTCAATATTAAGCTTCCTGGGAGACAAAGACGCCATTCTGTCGATAACCTCATTCTCCCTCAGTGCACAGAGCTACTACCTAAATGTGCATGTTTAACAGCCCGACTCCAGAAGTTTACATGAGCATCTAATCTGAACCAAGGACGGGCTGGGGATTTAGCTCAGTGGCACCATGCGTACCTCGCAAGTGCAAGATCCTGAGTTCAATCCCCCGTACCAAAAAAGAAAAAGAAAGAAAGAAAAATCATTATTTAGGGGCCGGTGATTTAGCTCAGTGGTTCTACCTCCTGTCTCACAAGCACAAGATCCCAAGTTTGATCCCCAGTACAAAAACAAAAAAACAACCTACAACATGAACTGAGGGCCCTGTTTTTATTATTTTAACCCTGGCCCTTTCTCCAGACTTACCTTGAAGCCTCTTGGCCAACTCACGTGTAAAAAGCACATTAGCCAACTTGCTATGGAAATAGGCAAAAGCCCTGCAATAGTACTTCTCACCCTGGAGGTCATGGAAGCGAATCTTGCCAGCATGGTGCACCACTGATGACAAATTCACCACCCGTGAGGGAGCAGATTCTTTCAGCTGCTCCAGGAGCAGGTAGGTGAGAAGAAAATGGCCTATGAAGAGAACCAGCAGGAGACTGAAGGGTAGAACAGCAGCCTTGCCTCAGCATTAGCTCACTGTTTTTCTGGGTATGTTCAATTTCGGATACCAAGAGTAACTCAGGGCTAATGATCAGTTGTGGACTCCCCAAAGCAAGAGCCAGAGACTGATTATAGTGAAGCATTAATACTTAATCGATATTATTTTTGAACCTCTGCTCATTGCTCTGACCGGGAAAAACTCCCACCTACTGGCATCCAGTTTTCCCTCTCGCCATGGTTATACAGCTGTGGGCCCAGGTACACGCATGCACCGAGGGAAAGTGAATCATTAGCAAAAACAACATGCTCCATACTGGCCTCCCTCAAATCATCATCCTGAAGTCTGAACCTTAGTCTGTCTTGTACCTGAAGTTCTCAATGTTTGCCTGCCCCGATGGACCAAACTGTGGCCTGCTTGCCCCTCATGTGGATGTGACTCTTCCAACTAAACCCAGATTCCTGCACACTCCCGAACCTGGCCTTCCTAGGGATCTCTCTCATGCCACTGTCCCATCCCAGAATGAGATCTTCTCCTGGTGTTTGGAGCTTCTTAATAGTGCAGATAAGAAGATCTCACTTTTTCAGGCTGGTCAGAAGAAGGATGGTGAAAACAAGCAAAGTGTCTGATCTATTGGAATCCTAAGCTCTATAAGACCTATGGAGATTCTCAGTACTGGAACAGGGTCCTCTTTCTACAGAGAACAAGGTGAATTGTGCCTCTCTTTTGAGTCACCCAAGGATACTTACCCAGGTGGTTGACCCCAATATGGGTTTCAAAGCCATCTGCGGTCTTGGAAAATGAACACAACATCACTCCTGCATTATTGATCAGTATATGGAGCTTCTTTTCCTCTGTCAAGCACAACCACAGGAATCCTGTAGTTAGCGAGGAGTCCACTAGCTGCCTGTCATAGCCCTGAGTATTTGCCCCTTTGCCCTTGTCCATGAACTCTCTGCTGGCGCAAGGTTATTGTTCACTCCACTCTGTCTTCTAAAACAAAGTGTGCCTCAGCGGTCAAACTATCCCCCATTTGGACTGCTGTCTGTGGTATTCAGTAAGTACTGCTTTGGGTTTCTAAGCTGAGAGGCCCGTATCTTCCTGTTTATTCCTCTTTTCGGCGAGGGTGTACTGACTACCAACCCTGAGCCAGGCCCACTCTGTTGGCCCTTGCAATCCAACAGTAAAACAAGACAGACCTGGTCCCTGCTCATCATGGATTCTATAGTCAGTGGCAGAAGCCAGTAATTTTCTAAGATCCAGAATAATTTTAGCATTGGCACAATCTCATCTAGTGCCTGTGGATACAAAAGGTTGATTTTCTGGATTGAAGAAGAACATGGCATCAGGACCACACCTTACTTTGTGTACTTTGACTTTTTGTACTTTGACTTTTTGTGCTTTTTGTACTTTGACAGTACCTTGTCAAAGTACAAGCCCAGACAGAAGAACTGACACCCCCAATATTTTCAGTGCTAAGCAAAAAAGCCAGCATGGATCCGGCCTAGCTTGTCTACCCACCATGCCCTTGCCAAATTGCCGTCTTGCTGGTTCATGTGGTAGAACCTGTCCAGTAGGATCATGATAGTTCTGATGTAAGGACTACAGATGGTCCAGGGTGGAGCAGGCTGTTCCCATACTTCTTTTCCCCTTTTTCTTACTACCCTGTAGGGCCTCACCTGCCAGAAAGCCCTCAGCAAAGGCTCGGATGGACTTGGTATCAGATAGATCCAGTTTCCGTACCAGCACCTGGGAGTTCTTTGTATCTGCTCGGATTTCACTGGCAGCAGATTCTCCCTTCAGTACATCCCGGCAGGCAATGTACACTCGGGCTCCTAGGGCCAGAACACAAGCACAATGTATTCAGAGAGTAGGCTGAAAAATGAGGTAGAGTAAGTGACCCAGGGGCTGGTGAATAAAACATTCAGCACTGCGGTGCCATACTGCCCCTTCTGTATTCTCATAATGGTACTGGTCTGTCTTCCCACTGCAAGTTTAAACTCACGCTGGGAAATTTGGGTTCAGACTCCAGCTATAGTTTGTTTTCTTCTATGGGTTTTTTGTTTTGTTTTGAGTACTAGGGATTGAACCCCAAAGAACTTGAGGCCATCATATTAGGCTATATCCCAAGGCTTCTTTTTTTTTTTTGAGACAGGGGCTCTGGGCTTGAACTTGTCATGCTCCTACCTTGGCCTCCAGAAGTGCTAGCATTGCGGGCATGTACCGCCACACCTAGCTACACGCTAATATTTAATGCTTATTATCATCTCCAATTAGAATAACTGAATTGACCAATATTATTATACACACTTATCATTATTTTCCTTTCTTTATGTAATACAGAAGGAAGAGGGAGGTACATTGAAAGGCACAGAGGAAATTAGAATCACATTGGACTTGAAACCCAAGTTTTTTTTGTTTTTTTTTTTGAATCCCAAGTTTTGTGAGTTCCTGTCAGAGCCTCCAAGCCCAGGAAGAAAGACAAGGCAATGTGGGTAAAATCCCCAGTAAGAAGAGCAAGAGGCCAAGGCCTGCAGAGCCAAAGAGGAAGCACTCACCTCTGCGGGCAAGCTCCCTGGCTGTCTCCTTGCCGATGCCCGTGTTGGCACCAGTGATCACCACTACCTTTCCAGGAAGTTGCACATTGGTTCTGCAAATTCCACCCGCAAAGTACTTCCTGTCATGAAGGGAAACAAAAGCATCACACGTTATCCTTCCCAACTGACAGTGAGATGCACAAAGTAAACTCCACCAGACGCAGACAATATCTTGAGGTTGGAGTCAGGAAGCCCAAAGAAGCTAATCTGCATGGGACTTGTTTTTGCTGGGCAAGGCAGTGGCCAGCTCCTAGGTGCAGGGTGGAACACCATGTGCCCAGGGATTACAGGCGATCACCCCAGCAGCAGTGTAAGGTGCTCATGAGCCACAGCAGATGGAGAAACATTCCTTTTCAGACAACAAAGATATCTAGCTCTCATCTCTAGAGGTTCCCAAAGGTCAGCTTCCTCTTCCAACCTGTACCCAAAACATACATGTGATGAACATGAGTGGAATCAACTGTCCTGAGCCCTCGGTCCCCAGGAAGCATCACAGCGAGTAACTGATGACAGCACCCTGGGAGGTGGCATACGCAAATACCACCCTTGATGGGACTGTCAACTAGTACAACCACTATGGAAACCAGAATGGAAATTCCTCAAAAAAATTAAACCTAGAAATTCCATATGGCCCAACTATTCCCCTTCTGGTATCTTCCTGAAGTAGTGAAAGTCCTCACATTACAGTGATCTGTGCACACCCATCCTTATAGCAGCATAACTCATAATAGCTAAAGCTTGAAAGCAGCCACTATGTCTATCAAGAGATAAATGGATAAAGAAAATATGGAGTACTATTCTGTCATAAAGAAGGATAAACTTGAGTCACTTATGAGAAAATGGATGCACCCTGAGGCCATTATGTTACACAAAATAAATCAAACACACAAGTTTAAATATCACATGATTTCTCATATCAGAAACCCAAAATACAAACAAATCAAAAAGCAAACAAGCAGGGCATGGTGGCGCACTCCTGCAATCCCAGCACTCGGGAGGCTGAGGCAGGAGGATCGCTGTGAGTTCGAGATCAGCCTGGGCTACATAGTGAGTTCCAGGTCAGTCTCAACTATATAGTGAGACCCTGTCTCAAAAAAAGATAATAGGAAAACAGATAGATCTTTGCAAAAGGGAAGGTGACCAAGAGATGGAAGGGGTGGGGATGGAGGGAGGGAAGGGAGTGAAACAAAAAGAATTCAGATGTGTATGTACATGTACCAACTCCCCACAATTTGTATTACCAGTGTGTACTGCAAAGGTGCTAATAAAAAACAAATTAAAAATAATAACACATAAATAAAAGGACTACAATCCTCCCAAAAAATAAAACAAACGCTGAATGTTACAAAATAACCAACACCACACTTGGGCTGCCTCTCTCATTTTAATGAGAAGGGTACCCCGAGAGGCTTTGTGCCGTTGTATTACAGATTTTAGTTTGGTCATCAGTACACAGGGAGAAAACCTCCCCTGTTGATTTCTCAAGCTCTAAACAAGATCAGAGTGGGGCAGAGCTAACATTTCCCAAACAGCTTCTGACTCCCAGGCACCCAGCTATGCACTTTCCATACATAATCTAAAGTTCTCAGCCACTGCAGCATTGTTTCCACAGGACAGTAGGGAAAATTGAGGCCCAGGAGTTCAAGTCACTTCTACTAGTGGCAGAACTGGAATTGGAATCCAGGTCTCTGTGTCCAAATGATATCTGTCCCCAGTATGCCCATATAACCAGAACACACATTTTTTTCCACACTTCCAGAAATCCCACAGCTAATAAACCATCCCAAAGCATTTATTGAGGTTAGTATCAAGGGGAAGAGAGTTTATCTCCTTCTCAGAGAAGGTACTTAAGAATGGCTCCTGTAGCAAACACACACACACACACACACACACACACACACACACACACACACACACAACAAGCCAACAGGGCCACCTTGCTTAGGGAAAGAGAAAAAGGGAAAATTGTCATAGAAGCCCACAGGAACAGAATGAAAGAGCAGGGACTGCCACCTAAATCTGCCACTGAGCTACCTGACAGTCATTCACTCTGCCCTCCGAATCAGCCCTCCTACACCGCCCCAGGTGCTTCCTTTTCACTTTCCACAGTAGTATCCACGATGCCTTCCTGTCTGCTTTTTCTGCCCTACCTTTCTCTGCCTTGATCTCATTCCCTTTCTCTTTTCTCAGCTGCTGAGAACCGGCTCCCAGAGCAGGACTTTGTAAACTATTAGGAATTGCTGGATGAAGACAAACCTGAGGAATGGCGCTGTCGTGTACAAAAGGGAAAGGAAGCAGGTGAACAGTCCCAAGATAACCAGCATCTTCTCAGCCGCTCCAACTTCAACCCCAGATCTGGCTCGGGCTCCTGGTCTGACTCCAACTCTAGCTTCTGCTTCTTCTTGGCTTGCTCCTCTCACTCCAGGTACTCAGCAACAGTCTGACTCTTAAGCAGAGCCCAGCATTCTATTTAAATCCAAGACCTGTCAGAGCACAGCCTCTTGGGAAACGTAGTCCTGAAGGGGAGGGACGCGTGGGAAGAGCAGCCCCTTGCTTATACTTACTGTCAAAGACAATTTGGCGAAATGGAGAGTAACTCCCTCTAGCTCTTCTACCCTCAATTATATCTCTTTTCTTGGCGATGTGACCTTCCACCTTCCACCACCTCTACTCCTTCAAGATAGAATATTTTTAAAACTTTAACAACAAACTTCCTAAAAGCTAGGTATGGTGGCGCATGCCTATGGTCCCAGCCATTGGGGAGGCTGAGGCAAGAGGATCACCTGAGCCCAAGAATTTGGGGCCAGGCTGGGCAATAAAAAATAAAACTCAGACTTCATGATGCTTGAAATTTAAGTGTGATTAAATTAGAAGGATATAAGCCAGGTGTGGTAGCACACACCTGTAATCCCAGCACTCAGGAGGCTGAGGCAGGAGGATTGCGGTGAGTTACAGGTCAGTCTGGGATACTGGACTTCATAGTGAGTTCAAGCCCAGCCTGAACCCCTGGCCAGAGCTCCTGCTGTCTGGCAGTGTTCAGTTCTATGCTCCGAGTGCTAGTGCACAGGTGCATTCACTTGTACCTGTGATTTGTGCATTACGTTATCCTTCATTTGAGTTAACACACTCAGGAGCATGCCAAGGAAAAAGCATTGAGTTTAAGTGCGTCGATTCTAGAGCTGGTCTTCCTGGCTCAGATCCTGGCTCACCCACTTACAAGCTCTGCAATCTTGGGCTTGTGTCTGTGTTACCTTGGTTTATTTCTTTACTTGTACAATGAGAATGTCTGCTTGTTTCATTATGCAAGCAGAAATTTTGGCAAATACTGTGTCTAACTGTACTGATTCCTATCTCCCTTGCTATTCCTCTTCCCACCTGCTTTACTCAGGGTGTGTTTAGAAAGGGAGAGGTGTTGGACAAGGGTCCTGTCTCAACTGAATGCTGGTAAAGATGAGGGGAAACACAGCAAAAAACCAGCGTCCACTCTCAGAGCCTCTGGATGTGTGTGAGAGGACAGGAAGGGATAAGTGGGGTTCACTGTTTACTCCATGTTTTTCTCTTGGATAGAAAGGGAGGCAAGCGATGGGAAAAGACCCCAGAAATCGTGCTCTAGCTCAGTCCTCCCTTTGAATCCATGAGGACACACACGTGGAAGAAGACACCTGCGGCAGGAGGTGTTCACACCTCCCCTCATCACTTACCCACCCGGACTTATTCTTATCCAGTGCTTCTTGGTGCCAGGCACTGGCCAAGTAGAAAGAAGACACAGCTCCTGCCTCTTGGAAACCCATGGACCTGACCAACAGAATAAGGAGAGATCCGGTGAGTCCCAAAGGGAACAACCCTAGACTCAAATCCAAAATCCCCTGCACTTGCAAAGATGGTTCTCAGTTTAGCTTGGAGGCAGACAGCCATAAGGAACAGTTTGCAGAACTCTAGAGAAAAGATGTTAGAAGGGATACAAAGCATCTACAATTACGGAAACACACAAATACCTTGCTAAAAACAAATGTTAAATATTACAATCCCAAACCTACATCTACTTACATTTTTTTTTTTTTTGTACCAGAGATTGAACTCAGGATCTTACACTTGCAAGGTTTCTTAAGGGAAAGATTCGCTCGAGACTCGAGACTCAGTCTCATCATACTTTCTGGGAGGAACTAATGACAAGTACCCAGGTGTGACTGTAAGTAACTTCAGTTATTATTCCTTTTCTTGGTGATGTGTAACAGTTCTGTATATATTAAGTAGACTTTGACTGCAACACAAGCTGTAAATATCTCACTCTCACCCCATTTCTCATTACTGCTTTGTGTGTAGTGGTTTATGTCATAAAGATTTTTTTCTTTTTTGGTTTTTTTGAGACAGGGTCTCACTATGTAGTTGAGACTGACCTGGAACTCACTATGGAGCCCAGGCTGGTCTCGAACGCACAGCGATCCTCCTGCCTCAGCCTCCTGAGTGCTGGGATAACAGGTGTGCGCCACAATGCCCAGCTATATAAGATTTTTTTAATTAAAAAATATGTTTTCCAGGCTGGGGATTTAGCTCAGTGGCACTACGTCTGCCTCACAAGTGCAAGGTCTTGAGTTCGATCTCCAGTACCAAAAAAACAAAATAAAACAAATACGTTTTCCTTTTTGGTTTGAGACTTGTCTTATTTGAAAGGTCTTGCCACTCTAAGATTATTTAAAAATGTATCCAGCGGTTTTTCTGAGGACTTTAATGGTTTCATTTTTTCCCGTTTGTATCTTCCATCTATTAGAATTTTGGTCTAAAGAGTAAAGTAAGGATCAAGTTTAATTTTTCCTTGCTGGATTCCTAGATGCTATAATATTTTATTTCACTTACTATTTCCTTTTGTACTTTGTGAGTCTATAGCCTATGGCCTATTAGCATTTAAAGTTTTCACCAAAAAGACCTATGTCACTTTGAAATAACTGGTTTATTTTTGTTAAATTAAGCACTTTGTCACAGAGTAAAGCTAGTTCTCAAACCAATATTGAGCAAACACGATCTGCCCCATAGCAAAGCCAAGGACCAACCTGACACCTGCTTCTTAGAAATGTTCCATGAGAGACAGACATAAAGATAGTCACAGGAAGTTGAACACATCCGAGGAATTGAAGCTGGAACAGACCTGAGTGATACTCAGCCATGATGAAGCTCTCACCACTTACAGCACCTTTGAGAAGAGCTCTCTGCTCACCTTACCTGGGTGAATTACAAGTCAGGTTTGCCTTTGTCCCCGGACTAAAACAGAAGGGCCTGTGTACCTTTGGCCTCTCCCGCCTATGATGCCTGCAGTGTCTAATCCCCTTTATGACAACCAAAAACATCCCCAGATATTGCGAACTTGCCCCATTTGGGATTCACTGTCTTACAGGATGTAGACCCTACTGGAAATTGCTGATATGTGTTTCTTTGCTCTGTCTTGTTTTGTTTGTTTGTATAGTGCTAGAGATTGAACCTTGCGGCTCTCTGGGGGGACCCCGTCCCGCGGGGAATAGGAGGTGAGAGCCGCCTCTTATTCGTGGGTCATCAGAGGCCGATCCGATCTTGAATGTCTGTGGAGGAAATCTTTAAGAAGTTAGAGTACACGGCCCAAGTCTGGTTTCTGATCAAAGGCTCTTTATTGGCTCAGCAAAACGATTATATACTGTTATCCCAGGGGGAAGGTTCAGCAAGCTTACTGGACAGTTCAAACAAATCCTCTACCAATCACATGAGTCACTCAAGCATTTAACCATACAGCAATCAGTATTTTACCAAATGTGGGGAGGGGTAAGTGGGAAGGCGTACATCAACAATTAACCCTATGCAATCTTTAACTTCACAACCCCTAGGGGCAAGTAGGACAGGGAAATACCACCTGCTTCCTGCTCCAGATCCCGTGACCCTGTGGTTAGCACAAAGGGCTATTCTTTCTGTAAGATTTCCTGTTTGCCCAGGAGCTAGACCTGCCAAAAGTCACGCATGTATGTAGTCTAGTGGGATTTTTCCACCGAGGCAAAGGCTAAGGTTGAGGGCAGTCTTCTTATGCAGGCCCAAGCAGTCTCTCACAGAACCTAGGGACTCATGCATGCTGAGCATGCACTCTACCACTGAGCTGCACCTCCAGCCCTGCAATGTGTATTATTGAAAGAGCAAAATAATGTTTCACACAGTATCCTGTTCTTTTGGCTTAGCTCTAGCCAAACTAATCTGCTTACTCTTTATATAAAGATATTAGTAACTCATCGGAGTCTGGGATTACTGGCCAATACTTTTGACCTTCAAAACTTTTTCTTCTCTCAGCTTAATTCTGTCTGCCTCTGATTACTCATTAGTGTCCAGTCTCTGAGATCTATATACACTTAACACATCAAAAAAATATCTCATAGCTGGGCGTGGCGGCACACACCTGTAATCCTAGCACTAGGGAGGCTGAGGCAGGAGGATTGCTGTGAGTTCAAGACCAGCCTGGGCTACATAGTGAGTTCCAGGTCAGTCTCAACTATACAGTGAGACCCTGTCTCCAAAAAAACCAAAAAAAAAAAAAAAACCCCAAAAACCTCATGAGTAAACTTCTCGAGTAATGTGAATGTTCTGTCTTGGAAGAGGTTTGGGTTACATGGATCTGTGCACTTATCAAATCAGCAAATATACACTTAAGACATGCATCTCATTGTTTGTTTTTGAGACAAGGTCTCACTACGTTGCCTAAATTGCTCAAGCTGGCCTTCAACTTGCAATTTTCCTGCCTCAGCTTTCATAGTACCTGGGATTACAGGTAGAGGCTACCACACCCAGCTTCATTGTTTGCAAATCTTACATCAAAAGAAAAAATTTAGAATAAATAATGAGCTCTAATTAGTGATATACATGCAGAAGTTTTTAGGGGGAAGTGTGCTGATGCTGTAATTTATTTTGAAGTACATTTATGAAATAAAGTGGATTGATGGATATAGGGTAGTAAAACAGACATTTAATGTACTTATTTTATATATGATAAAACTGGTACTATGGAATGTTAATACAGAATCTATGTAATGGATATATCGATGTTTGTGAAACTCTTAAAAATTTTATGAATATTTGAAAATTTTCAGATTAAAATGCCACAAAAGCCAAATGTGGTGGTGCTCACCTATAATTCCAGCTACTGGGGAGGCTAGGGCAGTAGCATTACAAGTTTAAGGCCAGCCTGGCAGCTTAGGGAGACTCTACTCAAAATATAGTATAATAGGGCTGGGGATTTAGCTCAGTGGTTGCCTGCCTCACAAGTGCAAGGGCCCGAGTTTGATCCGTGGTACCAAAAAAAAAAAAAGAAAAGAAAATACAGTAGCTCAGAGATAGAGTGTTTGATTAACATGCACAAGGCCCTGAACACACACACACACACACACACACACACACACACACACACAGAGTTGCAAACACAGAAAATTTCTGCATGGAAAATCAAGAAGC